TGTCTTTAATTGCAGAACTGAATTTTCAATGGCCACTGAACTTTTTCTCTGTCTATTCTACCTTCAGTGGAGTCTCCTTTCTTACTGCTTTGCTCTAGCCCCTGCTTCACTACTTTCCATGCCTCCGTGATTTGCCCCACACCTACTTCCCACTACGAGTCACAGAGGCATCCTGACTGCCTCCCAATGTCATCATTCTCATCCTAGTTCTGTGTTCCCTACCTAAATTGTACCTATAATGTGAAGCCCATCTCATAAACCACCAAATTATTTCTGATTGGTATTGGTCTCTTTGTTCTGCTATCTTGTAGAACTTTGTTTTTGCCACATGATTTTGCTCTTAATCATGATCAGTTTCATGTGTCTAGTCTTTTTTTCCCCAATCATATTATATATACTGTGAGATACTTACTGCGTATCAAAGATATAGGAAAAAGCAACGTATTTTTTTCCCCTTTCCACACATCACACTTCTCTCCAACACCAAATGTGTGGGAATTTTCCCCACGCACTAAGCAGTTTTCCAGCAGGCACCAGCTGGGTCGTCTTCCAATTCAATTCCTTTCTGAAACAATGTACCTGGAGATAGCATCAGATCCTACCAGTTGAAGGCTCACTCCCACAAGACTGTCCCCCACTTCAGATGTTAGCCACAAGTCCCGGCTGTGACCTGTGCTTCTGCCTTACCAGCTATAAATTGGGGTTCCTGCAACCCCCTCCTTAGGTTTGATTAACTTGCTGGAGTGGCTCTTAGAACTCAGGGAAAACTCTTTACTTACATTTATCCATTTATTATAAAGGATAGTACAAAAGATACAGATGAACAACCAGATAGAAGAGATACATAGGGCAAGGTATGGGGAACGGGACAAAGAGCCCGACACCGTCCTTCAGGAACCTCCATGAGTTCAGCTGTTCGTCATACGTTCAGCTATCCAGAAGTTCTTCGAACCCTGCTCTTTTGGGTGTTTATGGAGACTTCGTTATGTAGACATGATGGATTACATTATTGGCCGTTGATGATCCACTCTACCTTTAGCCCCTCTCCCCTCCCTGGATTTTGTGTGTGTTGAAGGGCGGGGGGGTGCTGAAAATCCCAACTCTCTAATCATGTCTTCATCTTTCTGGTGAATAGCTCCCATCCTGAAGCTATCTAGGGCCTCCAACCACCAGTCATCTTATTAGCATACGAAAGACACTGCTATCACTCCAGAGATTCCAAAGGGTTTTGGGAGCTGTATGTCAGGAAACAGCACAAAGACAAAACATGTATTTCATGATATCACGCTGCCCTTTTTGTAACCCATAGTGCCTTCCATAGAGGGGAAAAAAAACATAATTGTACCCAATAGACATATATGAATATTTCTTAATTGCTGAATTGACCTCCAAATAACAATAACAGATTATAGGGAAGATTTGGGTCACTAACCTTGTCTATCAATGTACATATTAACTTCAATGGGTTGTTTGAATCACATCAGCAATTTTAGATTTCATTATGTAAGTACTTTATTTTGCAATCCTAGCACATGCCAGCATATTACTGCTCAGATTTAAAACAATATTTTATAACAAAATCTGGTGATTATCTCATGAAAAATTTATAGAGTTGTTATTTTACAAGTATTATTTAAATTAGTTCACCATGATTTAGAAGTTATATCATGTGAGTGAGTTTTGCAAAATTTTGCAAAATAGGCTAAAGTAATTTGTCACTTTTAAGGTGCTACAGTGACTGCTAAATTTTCAAATGTCTGTGCTGCTCAGGCTTATGAGTAAAAGTTAGAATAAGTGGGAGGGGATATTTTTGTATACAAGATGAGTTTAAGGTTTTATTTAAAACAAACTATTTTCCTATTTCTCTTGGCAACAAAACAATTTTCTTTTGATTCCATTAGCTGCTCCCTTTTTAAGGCTGAAGATCAACACAGGAATGCTGGTTCAATTTGAGCATATTCAGTACATAGCTGACATCTCCTCCCTAATCACGTGCTGCCACGTGGAAATCAAAGAGTCACACAAAGCCTCTTTTCTCCTTAATGTTAATCATTTATGAACATTAGAAATGTTATTTGTCTTCTATGGTATCAGGAAATTGTAGATGTTTGTCATCAATTAGTCTGTCACCAGAGAGAATATTGGAGTAAAAAAAGTATTTCTCAACATGGTTGATGAACTCAGTCTCTAATGACCAGAATTACTTTGCTAAGTATCCAAATAATATTATTATAACCACATGCTCATTATATCATAACTCTTTTTTAACAAGTGCCAAGTGACATAAATATTAGCATGTTTTTTTCCCATCAGTAAAACATGGAAAAAACTAATTTTATCTATTTTTATTGAAATTTCTAATAAATTTTAGCTGTCTAGAAACATCTCAAATTTCAGAATTAAATAAGATATAATAAATACTATTTAAAATAGAAAATAGGGTGTATAAGCTAAATAGAATATGCAAATGTGAGGACTGTAGTGATTAAATTTCATTTGTAAATGTCTAGATAGTACATATTCACAGATGTATTTTAAATACTATACTGCTTTATTCTGTCATTCTTTATCATACTTTGCTATATAATGAATATTAATATAGTAAATATTAATAATAGTAAAAGTTACATAGTGCTTACTATGTGCCAGGCATTGTTCTAAGCACTTTATGTTATGAATTTAGCTAAGCCATAATAACCCTGTTAGGCAGTTACTATTATTGTCCCCATTAAAATGTAGATAGACACCATGGAGCTAGCAAGGTCGGCGTTTGAATCCCAGCTCCACCTTTGAGTGACTTTGGGCAAATTATTTAACCATTTTGAGCTTTAGTTTATCTGTAAAATGGCAATAACACTTCATAGGATTATTATGGAAAGTAAATGATGAGTCTAGAATTAGATACCTGGCACATAATGGGCACTCAATAAATTTAGCCAAACTTCCTAATCAATGAACTGACTATAAGAAAGATTTAGTCCCTAATTTTACTTAATATACTTTTCTATACAATATTCTGTGAGATCTTTGAGGGCATAAATTGTCTGAAACATGCTCAATAAATGCTGGGTACAAAAATGAAAATACACAGAAATTTGCTCAAGTACTCCGAATATATCAGTGGTGACCAGTGGTGAACAATATTGTAAATTGTTGCTTAGGTAATTGAATCATTAGCATTATCAGATTAATTTGTTGGTGACGATTAAATCACCTTGAATAAAAAAGTCCTTAGGTCTTTTTTTTGAGAAATTTCCAACTAGAGGCTACATGAAACAAATGAGACCCAACTGATAGGAAATATGCTTCCTGAGTTTGTAAATGTTGGCGATTTCCAAGAGAGTTAGGTGAGATTTTTTTTCTTCCTTAGTCTTTGTAGGCAGTGTTCATGGCCACTTATAATCCGTTTTTTCCTACCTTACCACTAATAGTGCACTAAAACACCCAAGTCTTAAAGTAGTGTTTATATTGTATTCTTGATATCATGTATATCTGTGTTTAATTCTTTTAAGTGATTGGTGAGAAATTATAAACAACTTATGTATTTTGTTTTTGTTATAATTAAAAATAAAGAATGAATTAATGCCTTCCTACCTGATAGAATGCATGTTTCCATTGCTTCAGCTAATAAAAAACAAGTTGTCATTGATGATGATAGTATTGATTGTTCGTGGTTGTGGTAGTCGTGATGATAATGGTGGTGATGGTGATGATAATGGTGGTGGTGAAATGAGATCAAAAATTTCAAGTAAAAAGGAATCACTTCCCCCCAAAGCCTAAATTGGACTCTGGACTTCTAAATCCAAATTTAGAACTATTTTTTGCATCAAAAATGAGGTTTTATATTATAAATCAAAAGATGTAGTTTTGGTTTGTTCATGGGCAAATGATGTTACTTCATTGATGGTGTTGAACTATGGTTCATACTGTATGAACCATATGAACTATATGGTCCATGTTCTTGCTACATTAAAACTACTTTATTAAAATGAGGAATTTTTTTCCAGGAATTCACAAATTGGTATTTGAAAAAATTATAGTGAGGTCCATTACATCATTATTTAACCTGATTAAGTAAAGGCTGATTCATTTTGACTATCTTTATTCAACTGTTATTTGGTGGAAATCCAATTTTACTTCTCTGTGTTTGTTCTTGTTCTTTCTAAATATCATCAGCAGGAATAATCTTTCCAAGGGAATGGTAAATTTCTCACCTTCTGTGGGATGATGTCATCCCATCTGTGTGTTGCACACAGACTCGTTTCATGAACTTGAGCAGCACCCTATATCCAGGCTTTATTTGCTCAGTGACTTCTTAGCTCTCTGCATCCTGGTTTGAATAACTGACATTTATTTTCACTTTGATATCTGAACTATGGAGCTTACCAATGGGATTCTTGCTGGGAGAGATGCCAGACTAATTCTGGAAGGCACCAAGGTTTGGACAAAAATCCTGAGAGCTGCCTGAATCTTTGTAGAAATCCCATGTCAATATGAACTAGACATGAGATGCATTTTATTTCAGGAAGGCGAACTGAATAAATGTGGGTATTCAATAAATTCCAAAAACAAAGAACAGTTAGTACTACTGAGCCATAAAAAAAAAAAAAATGATAAACTAATACCTTTTGTAACAACTTGGGTGGAACTGGAGACCATTCTTCTAAGTAAAGTATTGCAAGAATGGAAAAACAAACACCACATGTACTCACTATTAAATTGGAACTAATTGATCAACACTCACATGCACATATGGTAGCAAAACTCAACAGAAATCAAACAGGTGGGAGCGGAGAGAAGGGGATGGGTAAATTCACACCTAAGGACTACAATGTATACTGTCTGAGTGATGGACACACTTATAGCTTTTACTCAAACTGTACAAAAGCAATTCATGTAACCAAAACGTTTGTACTCCCATAATATTCTGAAATAAAAAAAGAAAGAACAGTTCATTTTCCCCCCTTATTCTCTGAAGATTATTTGCAATACCCCTACAGCATGTGTAGTTCTTCAGCATTTCAGAATTGATGGACTCCAGATGGAATCACAATTTGAACTTACTGGCCATGGCCACTCTGCCCTTGACCTCACACATTTCTCTAGCCCTGTGTTCTCCGAGAGGAATCCATGGAATAATGAAGCTATCAACCAAGTCCACAGGCCGGAAAAATTCTTCAAACATTAACTTCAAAGACTAGATCATAATTTGAAAAACACAATGTAAACAGGAAAAAAAGGTGGGGGGCAATCGTAAGCTGCTAGCAATTAGGCACTAATTAGGTTCCTTCACTTGTGTTGTTGCTGCATTCCAGCAGTACCATTTGTCTCTCTTTCCAATGTATAGATTCCTCAGGCTAATTTTTCTTAGTAAAACTAAGCCACAATTTGCAGACTAGCTTATAGGTCATGAATATATCCAGATCTAACTGGCTAACTGAACTTCTGAGTTTCATTTATTGTAAAAACCTAATTAAATGGAAAGCAGACAGCATGTCTGTTTGGTTCATCAGTGTATCCCTACGAGTTAGCGCGCTGCCTGGCACGTAATCATTGTGCAAAAAGCAGATGTCATTGAATGAATTCATTTATTTCTGTTAATATTCATGGACTTTGTCTATTTCAAACACTGTGGAAGTGAATTTATTTTTATCTTATTGAGTGGGGGATATTTACATTAAGAGAATTATTTAATATTTCTTTGAGGGTACCTTCTTTGACTATTAATTCTTATTGTGTAGTAATAGATGTAAAGCACGTAATTGATTAGACCAAATATATATCAACGTCCCAGAATTTCCTCAGAGAATTATTATTTTCTTTTGGATATTACATTCTTAATTTAACGTTGAATTTTTTTTTCTTGCCATAGAAGTGGAATGCAATATAAAATTTGAATAATTGATATTTTTTGTTAAGTTGAGTTCCTATAGATCCAGGGGCATAAGTTAAATGACCGGGATAGTAGGATCTTGAGAGGGACTGGCAGATATTACAATTTAGAGCCAAGTTGCAGTTTAGAAATGGTCTGCATTCCATCAACAGTTTTAAGTGTCTTTTATGTACAAGTCATTGTATGGTATGCAAGGGATGGATGTTAAATGCTAGAGAATAATGGAGTGTATGGCATATGGAATGTGGCATGATATGGGATTATTGGCATAATATGGCATGTGGCATAAAATGGAATACCATAATGGAATATGGCATAATATTAAGACATGGTCTCTGACCTCAACAAAGTTATGATCTAACAAATAAAAAGAAAGATCAGTTTAAATAAAGCAGACAGCATAGTCAGGACAAGTTGTGGCTCCAAACCTTCATTCACTGTCTAGAAAGAGCCAAAAGCCCTATCTGGAGACTTTGCCTGGAAAAGGATTTATACGGAGTTCTAGATTAACAGACAGAAACAGTAGATCAGTTGGTGGAAACTTCTAACATCAAGATAAATTGACATTTCTCTATATACATTTCTTTTTATTTGTAGAACCACCCAAAGTCACCGTAATGCCCAAAAACCAGTCTTTCACAGGAGGGTCTGAGGTCTCCATCATGTGTTCTGCAACAGGTTATCCGAAACCAAAGATCTCCTGGACCATTAATGATATGTTTATCGTGGGTTCACACAGGTACTGGGTTTGTATCATGTTCTTTGCTTTTATTGAGTGAGAAAAATTAATGAAATTTCTGGACCAAACTGATCTCTGACAAAATATCTAAGATTAAGGGAGGTTTGATCAAAATGCACAGCTCTAGATTTTTCTGAACAGTTTAGGAAATGTCAAATAAATATATCAATGATGAATTTATAGAGTTTGAGATTATTAAATCTTGAATTCAATAGCTGGGATCAAGTGCTTTTGTGTACTCTGAGTTGCAAACATAACATTGTAACACTTGGTTTAACTTGAGTAATTGAAATGGGGATAATAAATTTTCTGTGGGGTAAAATAACAGTTTTAACAAATCTATTAAAGATATTTAATAGAAGAGAGAGGGAGAGGCAAAGGACAGAACAGTAGCTCTAATTAAAGTAGCTCTAATTAAACATTCTTTGTAACTACTTTTCACTTCTGCCGTACTATATTAAGGTATTTATTCTACTGGATGCTTTTCAAAGACATTCGGTCCTCACATGTGCAGGCAGTGTAATAAACGTGTGGAACATAAACAACAAAGTTTCCAGCTATAGGGTTCCCATTACTCTGAGTCTGGTATGAAGAGGAGATCTTAGGTATGATCCAGCAAACTGGGCAGATTCTACTCCTAGACTCATCACTGATTCACTGCGTGACATGAGGCATTGCATCTCTCAGGTTTTCATTTGGAGGAACTGTTTAGCCTAGCAGTTCACCACACAGAGCAAGATTGCCTCGAGGCAAATTCCAGTTCCTCCATTTACGAACTCTGACTTTGGTCAAGTTCTGTAACTTCCTTGCTCATCTGTAAAACAGAGATAAGAATGGTATCTAACTCATTGGGTTCTTAGGAAGATTAAAAATATTAGTAAATGTAAAGTTCCTAGAGCAATGCCTGGCATGTAACTAGTACTGGATACATGGTATCTATTGTTGTTGTTATTATTATTATTACATCTTTGCTTGTAAAATGATGATGTTAATTATTCTTACAATCAGCACCAAAAATATAAGTTTAAATATTTGAAAACAGTTAAAGGAAGATGCAACAGTATCTTGATACTGCTATTATGGTATTTGCAATTTTATTTTTTGTTTTTTATTCATAGGTATAGGATGACCTCAGAAGGTACCTTATTTATCAAAAATGCAGTTCCCAAAGATGCAGGGGTCTATGGTTGCCTGGCAAGTAATTCAGCTGGAACAGATAAACAGACTTCTACCCTCAGATACATTGGCAAGTATAATTAGTTTAAAATGCAATTAAAATAAGATGAATATTACATCAAGGAATGTAATAGTATATTTTTGAAAATTAATATTAGTAATAAGTTATACCTAGTATTATAATTTATTATTCATTTCACACACTGATTAAAGATAACATTGTAACTAATTTAAGTTAAAAGTGCAGAGAGTGAAAAGTTTCTTTAGTCAACAGAAATCAAGGAAGCTTCCAGGTTATAGAAGAGTTCCAGAATGTCCAGTGTTCTATCCTACTAATCCTTCCATGGTTCATGCATTCTCTGAAGTATTTCACTTTTAGATTAATAAATTCTATATCCTTTCTAGCTTATCTCAACTTCCATTGTGTAATTTCTACTTATATTCAAAACCGTGTATAATATTATTTTCTCTTTTCATCTTCAATTTCCCCTCCAAACTTAAGCATTTTTTGAAAGTGTAACTCATGACAATTATTCTATAGAATATTCCTTTTAATTTGGTCTTTCTTAGTTAGATAAAGGATAAAGGTATCATATGCTTGGATCCAGGTTATAAATTGTGAATAATTAATGGCCTGAAATTCACCCTTTCATTTATTCTTATTTGACCTCATTCGTAGTAAGATAGTAAAACTGTCAGTAGAGACAAAAGGATGAAAAGAGCCATCAGAAGGATAGAGAATTGGAGTATACAGGTGAGGGAGGAAACAAAAGCATCACAAGTATTGAAACTAAGAGCCTAGAAAGAAGTGGTCTCATTTATAGAAATTAGGAAGGCACACAGCAAACACATTTCGAAGGGAAGATGAGCTCAGATTTGGAGATAATTGAATTAAAAATGTTCACAGAACACCCAGGTGTAGAAGGAACAAACAGTTGGGAATGTAGAACAAGTGGATGAAGCAGAATTTTACATTGCATTGTAGAAACAAATTTTGGTTCATTCACATAGAAGCCAAAATATTCAACACATTTATTTAACTTGTTAAGCATCTCTGGGTATGTAGCAAGCAAAGTGCTGTGCTAGAGACTGTGGTGTGTAAAATTTAAAGAATGTATGTCATGTAGTCTTTACCTTTCAAGAGCTTACATAATGAGGGTGGATACATAAAGAAATATAAGACAGACGGGCAAGTACTACAGTGGGAGTTTGGTGGAGGGGAAGGTTAATTCAGACTGGGGAATTTGCAAAGATTTCTCAAAGGAGACAGGATTTAAGCTCAGTCTGGAAGAGTGAGTGGGATTTGAAGAGTTGTGCCAAAGGGCATTTTAGGAAGAGGAAATAGCTTTAGCAAACGCAGGAAGATAGGAGAGTAAGATGTGTTATGTTTTGGGCTACCAATGGAGCTCTGTACTTTGTGATAAATGAGGAAGTGTAATGGAGGATAAGGTTAAAAAGAAGGCTATGCCCACTTTTTAATAGGGTTGTTTGTTTTTTTTCTTATTGATTTGTTTGAGTTCTTTGTAAATTCTGGATATCAGACCTTTGTCTGATATGTAGCTTGTGAATATTTTCTCCCATTCTGTAGGTTATCTTTTGCTCTGTTGATTGTTTCCCTAGCTGTGTGGAAGCTATTTAGTTTAATAAAATCCCATATATTAATTTTTGTTGTTGCATGATTGCCATTGGGGTCTTAATCATAAATTCTTTGCTTAGGCCGATATCTAGAAGAGTTTTTCCCACATTTTCCTCTGGAATTCTTATGGTTTCATGCCTTAGATTTAAGTCTTTTATCCATCTTAAATCTAAGCCATGAAACCTTGAATTAATTTTTGTGAGTGGTAAGAGGTAGGGGTTCTGTTTCATTCTTCTGCATGTGGCTATCCAATTTTCCCAGCACCGTTTATTGAATAGGGCTTCTTTTCCTCAGTGTAAATTGTTGTCTGCTTTGTCGAAGAGCAGTTGGTTGTAGGTAGATGGTTTTATATCTGAGTTCTCTGTTCTGTTCCATTGGTTTATGTCTCTATTTTTGTACCAATACCGTGCTGTTTTGGTTACTAGCCTTGTAGTATAGTTTGAAGTCTGGTAATATGATGCTTCCAGATTTGTTCTTTTTGACAAACAACCTTATTAAAAAGTGGGCAAAAGACATGAAGAAAAGCTTCTCAAAAGAAGAAAAACAAATGGCCAAGAAACATATGAAAAAATGCTTAATGTGATTAATCATCAGGGAAATGCAAATTAAAACCACAATGAATATCACCTTACCCCAAGTAGAATGGCTTTTATTAAAAAGTCCAAAAACAATAGATGCTGGTGTGGATGCTGAGAGAAAGGAATGATTATACACTGTTTGTGGGACCACAGATTAGTATAACCCTTATGGAAAACAGTATGGAGATTCCTCTAAGAACTAAAAGTAGACCTACTATTTGACCCAGCAATTCTACTATTGGGTATTTACCCAAAGGAAAAGAAGACTTTTCATCAAAAAGACATCTGCACTTGAATGTTTATTGCAGCACAATTCACAATTGCAAAGATCTGGAATCAACCCAAGTGCCCATCGATTCCTGAGTGGATTAATAATATGCGGTATAGGTATACCATGGAGTACTACTCAGCCATAAAAGAGATGACTTAATACCTTTTGCAACAATCTGGATGGAACTGGAGACCATTCTCCTAAGTGAAGTATCTCAAGAATGGAAAAAAACACCATGTGTACTCACTATTAAATTGGAACTAACCAATGAGCACATATGAGCACAGAGGGAAGTAAAACTTAGTGGAAATCGAACAGGGAGAAGGGGTGAGAGGGGAGGGGCAAAACCTACCTAATGGATACAATGAACACTATTTGGGTGATGGGCACACCTATAGCCAGGACTGAAGCATTACAAAAGCAACGCATGTAACCTAAAACATTTGCACCCCTTTAATATTTTGCAATAGAAACAAAAAGAAAACTACGTACCAATTCATGATTTTTGAAAAACAAACTATGGAATTTGGAAAGCAACGGGAATCACTGAAGATTTTCTAGCAGAGGAGTAACATAATCTTTGAGAAGTTACCTTAGATTTATTTAAAACTATCTCAGTTGAAATTTGGAAGTCCTAAAATGTCTAGTTAAAAGAAAATGTGTGAGTGAACTGAACCATTGGGTAAGAGGGTGAAACAATCACAGCAAAGGAAAGAAACTGTATAAGTGTATTATCATATACAGGGGAAAAGATTCAAAACCAAGAGACTCTACTTTTAAAGAGACAAATTTTTGCTTTGGAGTACAAATATCTCTCTGTAGTTAGACATGTATATCCTTAAAATCACATAGAAAATGTTATTAACAAATTCATCTGCAATTGTGTTACCCTCAAGTCTTAGTTTAACCATCAGTTTTATTATCATTCCTCTTTTGACTATATTTTTATTATAATTTTCCCTCTCTCTGTTCCTTTAGTATTATTTCTATAAGAGGTATTCACCTTTCCAAGCTTTTTCTTTTCTTATATGTCTCTTTTTCATAAAGACCTTTTAATTAATTTCCTAAATATTTTGGACTTTGTTTTATCATAATTATTTTTGGTTTCAGTCCTTGTTTTGCCTGATACCCTTTTTGACCATGCTAAGTGATCTTTTCCTCACATAACATCTATGTGCACATGCATTATAAGAGTTTCTGTCTGTTTATAAACACTGAAGTAGCCACAAGCACATAAATTCTGATAGATCTTTTTATTGGTTCATTTAGTAAACATAAACAAGGTCCATGTGCTCTTGTGCTAGATGTTAACTATTTGCATATTTGCTCTTTTCAGAAGCCCCAAAGTTGATCGTAGTTCAGAGTGAGCTCTTGGTTGCCCTTGGGGATACAACCGTTATGGAATGCAAAACCTCCGGTGTTCCTCCACCTCAAGTTAAATGGTTTAAAGGTACATTTCTTAAGTATGTTTGTATCTTGTTCACTTAGTTTTGTTTTTGATTTTTAAATGATTTGTTAAAAATTTGTTTTGGTGTGTGACTTAGCAGCCCCATAAAATGTGTTTATGATCTCACTGGAGACAATAGTTCAAAATTCTGAACTCTAAATTTCAGGATTTGACATCTGGTATGGATTACAGGACTGTGAAAATCAAAGCAGTTCAAGTTCGCCTTGCTAATCCAGCTGAACATTCTCTTTGTTAGTTTAGGATTGTTTCCTGTAGAAAATTGTCCAAGAATACTTGGTTAACGTTTGAAATAGCTTCACTGATTTTAATTCACTTTTCTTAGAGGTGATGGCTCTCACTAAAAAGTTTTCTAGATTCTCAAGAGTGCTTTCTATAAAGTGCTCAAATATATACATGGAAGCTTACAGGTAACTGAAATACAAATGTATTTATTAGTCAGCTACTTCATGCATGGTAGATGCTAGCATCAAGTATAGAAATTATCTTTCTATATTTGTGACATAAAAATTACACCTCTGTTATTGTTTAATAAAATAGCTGTAATGTGCCATTTGGCCATAGTGAGAATGTACTTGGATCTCGATCCAGGCTCAGATGCTGACAGTAGATATCTGTGTAAAAATCCCTGCCTCTGCTTCCGTTTCGATTCTCCCAGTTTACAAGAAAAAGAAAAAAATCCTGTAAACACCCTAACTAGGAGGTTGCTAGGATTATTGAAATGCTGTTTGCAAAATACTTTTTAATCTTCAGATGAAAAATGCTAAATATTACAATGCCCCATTGTTATGATTCTGTTTGTTAAATCACAGACATTTCCATAGCAACATGTTGATGTCATAATCACAAAATTATGAATTCACCTCGGGTTCAAACTCTTGGGGAACATGAGGTGAAAAACAAAGGCTTTATGTAGAAAACAAATATTTTTA